ACCTTGCTGAATGTTTATATCAGGCAAATTTTCAATACATACCTCTATTGCACTTCTCAAATTTTACCATGATCATGGACTACTTTCATATTCAAAAGTAATAAAACACTGTACCAAAATATATACATGTATATACTAAACACACATATATAAATACATATTCAATATTTCTACAACATTGGGATAGCAGGTAAATATGTGTTATGTGCTATTTCTGTGTTCTGTTACAGGTTATATGTACTGATGTTTAACATATTATATTTTAAGTGTTTCTTATGTCATTCAATAATATTTGAAGCATTACCTGCATAATGGGACATACTGGATGGACAATATATGGATGTGCCATCACATAACCATTAGCATATCACTGGGGATTTATATTGAATATAACAGTAGTTTTAAAAAAATAAATGCCCTCTACATCAAGTCACTATTGCACCTCCAATTATTTCTTTGTTATAGGTCTTAGTGGTAGAATTACATAGTCAGGTAATGGTCATTTTTATAGCTTATAAAAAATGCAAAGTACTTTCTTGATACTTTTGTCAACTTTATGTTATACCAAGCAATATATTTGTGCCTTTTACCTCATGATCATCAGCACAGAGCAAATTATCATGTCGTAGAATTACATTAGTGGAATCTGCAGCCTTTGGATCTTCCTGGCCTGATACCCTAAAGTCTGTTAATGGTACTGAGGGACTTCCAGTTATGGCCAAGATGGAGTAGCCCCTTTCCTACCAGTTCCTCTCACTTAAACTAAAAATCTCTTGAAATAATACACCAAACATACAGGAACTCTAAAAGGAATCACCAGCAGGTTAAAGCAGCCATTTAGAGGACAAGATAACACTAAGCACCAAAGCAGAACAACAAAGAGAAATACTTATTTAAATGACGAAAGTCTAAGGGACTTCTGGGACAACATCAAGTGTAACAATGTCTGTATCATAGGGGTACCAGAAGGAGAAGAGAGTGAACAAGGGGTTGAGAACCTGTTTGCAAAAATAATGGCTGAAAACTTCATTAACCCGATGAAGGAAAAAGTCACACAAGTTGAGGAACCAAAAAGAGTCCCTATCAAGATAAACCCAAAGAGGCCCACCCCAAGACACATCATAATTAAAAATGGCAAAGGTTAAAGACAAAGAGAGAATCTTAAAAGCAGCAAGAGAAAGATATTAAGTTACATACAAGAGAGCTCCCATAATGCTTTCAGCTGATTTCTCAACAGAAACACTTCAATTTAAAAATGAACAGATAATTTCAGTGGACATTTCTCCAAAGAAGATACTCAAATGTCAAACATATGAAAAGATGGTAATCATTATTAGTCATCAGGGAAATAAAAATTAAAACCACAATCAGATACTACTTCATACCCACTAAGATGGCTGTAATGGGGGGAGGGATGGTGTTTCCCATAGATTTATAAACTCACAGTGTTAAAATACTAAATTACCATTATAATTATAGCAATCATTTTGATTATAGGTTTGTATTTAGATCAGTGGTTCCTAAACTTATTTGGCCTACCGCCCCCTTTCCAGAAAAAATATTACTCAGCCCCTGGAAATTAATTTTTTTTAAATTTTATAACAAAGGTCATATATGACAAACCTACAGACAACATACTCAATGGGCAAAAACTAAACCCATTTCCCCTAAGAACAGGAACAAGACAGGGATGCCCACTTTCACCACTCCTCTTGTACATTGTACTAGAAGTACTAGCAATCAGACAAGAAGAAGAAATGAAAGGCATTCAAATTTGAAAAGAAGAAGTAAAACTGTCCTTATTCGCAGATGACATGATACTGTACATAGAAAACCCCAAAGTCTCCATCAAAAAAACTACTAGACTTAATAAATGAATTTGGCAATGTAGCAGGATACAAAATTAACACCTAGAAACCTATGGAGTTTTTATACACTAATAATGAACTCACAGAAAGAGAAACTAATAAAACAATCCCATTTAACATTGCACCAAAAAAAATTAAGATACCTAGGAATAAACATAACTAAGGGGGTAAAAGACCTGTATTCAGAAAACTATAGGACATTGAAAAAAGAGATAGAGGAAGATATAAACAAATGGAAGAACATACCATGTTCATGGATTGATAGAATCAACATCATTAAAATGTCCATACTACACAAAGCAATTTATAGAATCAATGCAATCCCCATTAAAATACCAATGGCATATTTCACAGACCTAGACCAAACTCTCCAAAAATTCATCTGGAATTAAAAAAAAAGACCCCGAATAGCCACAGCAATCCTGAGAAAGAAGAACAAAGTTGGAGGGATCACAATACCAGATATCAAGCTATATTACAAAGCCACTGTTCTCAAAACTGCCTGGTACTGGCACAAGAACAGGCATATAGACCAATGGAACCAAACAGAGAACCCAGAAATTGGCCCAAGCCATTATGCTCAATTAATATTTGACAAAGGAGGCAAGAG